CTGCTGCGCCTTTGCAATGGCCCGGTTTCAAAACATATTTGTTGATTAGGCAAATCAACCTAGAAGGGTCACCTTTCGACCCGACACAGAATGTAAGCGCGCTTTTTGCTTGAGCCAGGCATGATGGTCGGAATGTACATCATGCAAGCGAGACATCCATGCACTTAGGCTTATTGAGTGCAAATCTAGTTGATGGAATGAAATAATGGAAAATAAACCCCCGCTCGTGATCGATAACCACCACCTCACCCTCAACCTCGATAGGGGCTGACGGAAGTCAATTGACCTTAGGAATACATTGAGATATTGCCGGGATAGCGTTCTTGACATTCCCAGGGATGAATGGTACATTGTCTTTGACCTCAAGCTTGATTCGCCTCCCCTCCGGTAATTTGAAATAAGATCTGTTATATGCTCGCCAAACGAAATCATAACCATCTTGCAAGCATCTCATTCCCACAGAAAGCACTGACGGGCATTTGTCGAGGGGATTCAATGCCTACGTCAGCTTGTTCTGACCCAGAGATACTACCATTCGCAGTCGAAATTTCATTGGATGAGAAGAGTCAGGTTCCGGTTGAGCATCGTCTCGGGACAACAAGTCTTGTGCCGCACCAGTATCTGCGATCCATGGGATATGGGTTGAGCCCATTGGCATTCTTGCAACAGCAGCCCTTTTGTTTGATGAGGAATCTTCTGCAACTTCAGGCCCGGACGCTAGACCTGCAGGAAGGCAGTGATCGCAACCAAAGTCTGCATCGCAAAAGTAGTGACATTGGGTTGTCGTACCCTTCACATCTTACGAACCATTTTGTCTTGCATTGTGCCAACCAGCCGCGCATCGGAAACAGCTCTTTCATCATATTTCGGAATGAAACTGGCCGGAACTCTTTTGCAAACTTTCTTGACGAAGCAGTGTAGGGCCAAAGTTCGCCATTAGTCTCATAGCTTCTCGTGGAAACATTGTCCAGGAATTGCACACTTTTACCATAGCAAGGCATTGCATTCAATACATCAGACTTCAAACTAGGCAGACCAGGATGCGAGGCAACCAACTCCATGGTTGCGGCGCACACCATTGCCTTGACTAGACACACTGCCGCACTCCCGCCCTTCGAAGAGCGCGGAGGCTTCTGGGATTGAGATCCCTTCGAATCCTTAGAACCCTTAGAATCCTGAGAAGAGGGCCTGCTACCCTTCTTCTTCTTCTTCTTGTCTCTTGGCGATGTCTTTGGTGTGTCCCCGCTAGCGGTCTTATCGGATTTCGGGGCTGGCGTAGCTTTCAGATCCGGCTTCTCATCTTCATTGCGGTCACCATAATCTCCAGGCTCTCCGTTTCCAGGAGCTACATCTCCAGCGGTCCCGGCGGGAACGGATCCTATTTTGCCATAGGGATCGCTTCCGACCTTTGACCACTCACTTTGGCTCGGAATAGAAAGGCCGGGTGGAGATGCAACTTGTTCTGGTTGATCAGGCGGGACAGGAACGTGTTAGCACGTCGTTGGGCATTCAACTGAGTCTCTCTCCTCATTGCCTCAGATCGGTTCTGAAGTCCGGCGATGATCTCGCTGTGTCGGGCTCATCCAGCGAAGTATCATGATGCATACTCGCACTGTTCTGGTTGTACTGGTTCAAGGACGGTGGCACAGCAGTTCCCCTTGCGAGATCGGCCCGAGGGTCGTACATGACGATGTCCCCATGCTGATGCCTATCTCGATCGACAGGTGATGGAGACCTGGCACCAGGACGATCAGGCCGTTCTCGGTCGCTTCTTAAACCTAGCGACGCGGGGCTGTGGCTGCTCATAGCTTGCCCCTTCCTGATGAGCTCTCTGGCCACTTCTGAGTTCGCGCGACTTGTCGGATCATATAGCGAGTGATCCACACTCGCCCGCTCATCAGGAGAGGGTATGATCTCGGTAGGGGAGTATCCAGGATCATCTGACATGCCGTACAAACCTGTACAAAGCGCCGCTTACGGCTGATAACCTATAGATTAGGCAAATCAACCTAGAAGGGTCACCTTTCGACCCGACACAGAATGTAAGCGCGCTTTTTGCTTGAGGCAGGCATGATGGTCGGAATGTACATCATGCAAGTGAGACATCCACGCACTTAGGGTTATTGGGTGCAAATCTAGTTGATGGAATGAAATTATTGAAGCTATAATATTTGATCGCTTCTTGGCTACTTAAATGGCAACCGGAAAATTGGCCCCCACGCAGCGTTGGCCGATCAATTGCTTCAGCGTCAGGATCGGAGTGGCTTTCTGATTCTGCCCGATTCACAATTTCCTGGTGATGTACCCAGCTTTGGCAGTGAAGCGCAATCTGCCGAAGTGTGCAACTATCATCTTATCCCAAAATTCCATAACCTAGCCCATTTGGCCGGTTATGTCTAAACGAAATCTGCGATTCGACCATTGTTATTCTGACGAGGGGCTGATGGGATTTGTGTCCAAGCTCGCCTCTGCAACCCATGCTTCAACCATGGATCGGAGGGTCCTCGAAAGATACAGGGTCCAGTTGGATGTGGTACAAAGTTTGCTCAAACGTCAGAGCCACTCGCCAAGCCCGGGGCTGAAAAGATCCACCAGCAGCAGCAGGCATCCCATCGATGCGGCGGGCCGTCAAGGTTTCCCTTTTCAGCAAAAGACATTTGCTTGATCAAGGGTTTTTCCTAGGACATCCGACTACGCTTTGAGCTTCTGTCGGAAATTCGAGGAAAACCACAGACGGAAGCGCCATGCACTGGTGTTCAAATCTGGCCCAGGACTGATGGGTTGAAGGCAAACGCAAGGCGCCTTTTGTTTTCTACTTGGCTTTAAAAGGAAATCCACTCCAAAGAAACGCGCAAAAGGTCTAGAAATCAATTTGGTTGATCATTTCTCAATCAAGTAGCGATCCGGTTGCCTTTTGTAGGCTTGTTTAGCTGCAGGGATTTCCGGGAAAGAGCAGGAGTGTGGGACGCCGTGCTGATGGCTCACGCCACGCCAATTGTCTTCAGAACAAGACTTTTCGCTGACTGTCATCCACGACTCAATTGTTCCCTTTTGAGCCAGAACAATCGAAGACCATTCAGATGTTTAGCCGGATCCCACCGGCTCGCTTTGCAACTTGAGCAACAGGCGCCATCTCTTTTCGGCGCACCGGGCTCCAGCCTTAAAGGATTTGGCCCGCAAACCAGTACGAATTATGATTGGGGACCTGTGGGAGGTCTTGTTTAAATAATCTCTGTTTGTGTCCATGACCAACTTTTCCGGGGGGTCCCTCTTGAAATTCGTAGCTGCAAGGACACGTGCCCCCGCCCCAACAGAAAAAATAAGTGGATTGGCGCATTCCCGATTCTCGCTCGCGAGCGCCGCACCGGAGAATCAAGAATGCGCCCATCCAGCTGAAGGGGTCACCCCCCCCCCCCACAAAAAAAAAAATCCCGATTCTCGCTCGCGAACGCCGCGCCGGAGAATCAAGAATGCACCCATCCAGCTGAAGGGGTCACGCCCCCCCCCTCAGAAAAAAAAAAGAAAAGTGGATTGGCGCATCCCGATTGAGACTGAGAGGGTCACCCCCCCCCCCCCCTCACCCCCCCTCACCCCCCCCTCAACCCCCCTCAACCCCCCTCACCCCCCCCCCCCCCCCTCACCCCCCCCTCACCCCCCTCCACCCCCCCCCCCCCCCCACAGAAAAAAAAAAGTGGATTGGCGCATTCCCGATTCTCGCGCGCGAACGCCGCACCGGAGAATCAAGAATGCGCCCATCCAGCTGAAGGGGTCACCCCCCCCCATAGAAAAAAAAGAGTGGATTGGCGCATTCCCGATTCTCGCTCGCGAACGCCGCACCGGAGAATCAAGAATGCGCCCATCCAGCTGAATCAAGAATGCGCCCATCCAACTGAGGGGGTCTGCCCCCCCCCCAAGAAAAAAAGGTGGATTGGCGCATTCCCGATTCTCGCTCGCGAACGCCGCACCGGAGAATCAAGAATGCGCCCATCCAGCTGAAAGGGTCCCCCCCCCCCACAGGAAAAAAATGGATTGGCGCATTCCCGATTCTCGCTCGCGAACGCCGCACCGGAGAATCAAGAATGCGCCCATCCAACTGAGGGGGTCTCCCCCCCCCCCCCAAGAACAAAAAAGAGTGGATTGGCGCATTCCCGATTCTCGCTCGCGAACGCCGCACCGGAGAATCAAGAATGCGCCCATCCAGCTGAAAGGGTCCCCCCCCCCGCAGGAACAAAAATGGATTGGCGCATTCCCGATTCTCGCTCGCGAACGCCGCACCGGAGAATCAAGAATTCGCCCATCCAACTGAAGGGGTCGGCGGCACTGGGCGGCAGCCCTTAAATTTGCTTTTTGGAGAGGTGTAAGACGACTGCAACTGGACTTGGCGGGAAGCTTGTTGAGTTGCCGTGGCAGAAATACTCTATGTTTCATCTACCCTCCCAAGCCAGCTCTTCAGCTGTTCTGCCAATCATGGCTCTCCCGGAAGAACGAAGGATGCACTATCACAACACGGCAGTTGAGCCCCTCCAAAGCACACACACACAAATACACAAAATGTAATCCCTTCCTCCTGCTGACAAACTTTACCCCACCCAAAAAACTGCCAACACAAACCTACGCGAAACTCTGCGGATGTGCTTTTTTGGGGGGTCACCCTGGTCGGGCTCAAAAGTTGTATTCTGAGCACTTTTTCTCCCAAACCATTGGGTTGCCGTGCGCGACAGTTTGAGTACTAGGGTGGGTTCCTTTCAGGGTCTTGTTGAAAACCAACCAGGCTTGTGGCTATTGGGTACCTTTTTGAGAAGAGGGCGCCTTCCCTTGAAAAGTTCTCGCTTGGACATTGAACTGTTGAACACTCTTTGCTTTCCCATTTGATGCCAGTACTAAACAACGCAGTCTGAAAAGTTCTGGCCCAAAACCCGGCAAGCCTAATAATACCCCTCCCAGTAGAAAGCAAGGAAGCCACCGACGAATAGCGACGAAGGCCGCTAAAACGCTCCTGCCTCCGGCCGTGGCTTCGGCGGCAAGCCTCGCGAAGGGCAAGAACTGAGGGAGCCTATTGCGAAGCAAGCCCTGCATGGCTTAGCATATGCTCCAGGGTAGGGTTGCGGTGGGTTCAATCCCGCGCCGCGCCGATATGCGCGCCGAGATCATGGGCTCTGGGATAGGTACCGGCGCGCGCTCGTCGATATGCGGACGAGCCGATTTATCCGTTTCCGGGGTGGTTGTCAGCGCGCGCGCCGACGCTGAAAAAATATGGCGAGGTATTTTGGGCGCGGTATCCGCACGCGCCTGCTCCCCTGATTTTTCTGGCTGAGGAGAATCATGGCCTTGGGAAAACTATTGGCGTGTGGTTGCGCTCGTCTTGGCAGGGGGAAGAGTGGGGCGCACGCGACGAGATGCGACACGCCGATATCCCGGCCCTGCGCGCTGGTGTCTTGGCAGGGGAGAATCTGGGTATGGGTGAGGGGATGGCCGCGCCGATGTCCTTCCCCAACACTCTGGACGATGGCTGACGCGAACGCGCCCTCCTCCAAGAAAGGGCTTCCAGCGCGCTCCGCCGGGGGGAGATCACGTCACATCACATGAAATTACAATTGCCATACACTACACTGCAACACACTGCAGCACACTGCAGCACACTGCAGCACACTGCAGCACACTGCAGCGCCACACACTGCATATGCGCGCACCGGCGCACCATGTCATGCCAGACAAGACAAGGCCAGACAACACCATACCGTTACACTGCGTTGCGTTACATAATGTTGCAGCACACGGGGGAGAAAAATGCACGGATGCGTCGGGGGATACCGTGGAGGGATTGGTGTATCGGTCAGCGCGCCGCATTGTCGGACGCAATTGTTTTTTCCCGTGTAGTTATCGGTGTGTTTCCTGTCGCCGATATCCGAGGAAGGGGCAGCACCGGCGGGCGCGCCGATACCCAGCCGCCGACATCCGGCCACGCCTCAAAACAAGTGGATATCGGTGTGTGGGGGGAGGGGGGGTGGTATCGGTGGCGCGTATTTGCGGGGAATGATTTGGCTGTATTTCCTGGGCTCGCTGGTCGTTCTGGCCGTGAAAAAAGCTACCGCAGCACCATGAACTGCAGTTAAAAAGCGTGAAAAATGCTTGCAAGGCCGTGAAACATGTGTGACTGGCTGCGAACAACGGGCCGGAACCGTGAAGCCACGTGAAGCGCAAGCAACGGCCGTGAAAAAAGGCAATGGCCGTGAAAAGCAATTTCATGGCCCTGAGCACCGACGCGCCGATATCCTGAGGAGGATATCGGCGTGCCGGTGTACCGGCTTCAGCGCGAGATGACCCCGCCACCCCGGCATTTGGGTGGTCATGCCTCGAACACGGCAGAATAAGTGCAAAGCAGCAAGGCCGAACGATCACCGAGCAACGGCTGATTGCACACAGGCGCTGGGAAAGAGGGGCGAAGATACCGGGGCGTCGTCTTGTCACACGCCTGCCCCTTCAAACACGTGGCTTCAGTTCCCATCGTCTTTCCGCTCGTAAAACAAAACATCAGAACTCCGGACTGACTGAGAGCGCTGCCCACCAGCATGCCGATCTGCCCCTCTGTGGACACCACACCTTCGTGGCTAGGCCGCCCTCCCTTGTGTGTTGCGGTTGGGGTGCGGTTTAGGGCTCCCCCCCTGTATTGGGTTGTGTCAGGGATGGTTTAGCGGGTACTTAGTGTTGGTGTGGCTGTGTGTTCGGGGTTTAAGACCACACATCAAAAAGGCTCATCCGTACCGAGCGCTAGATGTGAGGGGCAACAACGTAATTTTCCAGCCTTGCGAAGTCAAAGAGCAGGCAAGAGGTGGCAATGAGTGGTAGGTGACCGCTGAGTGTCACTTCGGCTCAGGGCAAGTTAGAACATACACCAAGCGCTTCAGCAGTCGTGAGCCAACCAAGAAGGTGGTTCAGTTCGCCAGTACACCGGTGTCAAAGCGTGTTGCAGCAATTCGACCTCAAAAGAGCGCTCTTCCGAAGCATGCAATTTTGCATTAGGACGCATCCGCCAGCGAGTACTTCAGCAAGCCGTGCGTTCAGCTGACTCGCCACCAGAAGCAAATCATCTCTGTGTGTCACTGCGTCTGGCAGCTTGGCCCAGTGCCACGCAACAACATCTCGGTTGCCAGACGTAGGTCCTTGCTTTCTTCGGGATTCACAGTTCGCCAGAGTCAAGCCTTTACAAGCGGTGCGGAAAGCAGGAAAAACACCATTTACACTTGCATCCCAACTTCCCAGTCTGAAGACCCCAGCCCGAGTACGCGTCTCCTCTGTTGCCGCAAAACCACCGTCATTCTTGCAGTTCATTCTTGTTTGCAACAAGACCTTGATGGCACGCCATGGCCGCGACGTCGGTGAACCAAATAGTTGTCATTTGCCATTAAGGTCAACTCAAGCAGAATCCGCTGCGAAGCAAAGACATTCTGAGTTATTTTCCAAGAGCAACCTCACACCTAAGCTTCCCACTTGCCCCGCTGGGAGAGCCTGGGCCGCCGATGGAAGCTCGAGAATCCTCAGCTTTGTTCGAGAAACTTCCACCTCAAGGCGCCGAACCTCCAAACAAAACAGAGGATTGGGGATTTGCTTGAGGCGCAAGGCCATGCTTGAAGAAACACAGCGCGAAGACATTGCAATCCGACTTCATGTCTTGAAAGCAAGTTACCGTAAGCTGCGGCCAAGTATGACTGCCACCTTAACCTTTGAAAGAAGGCCACAGAAGCGCAACAAATAATGTGTCTTGGTGGCAAGTTCATGTGGCGCGAAGGCTTCGGTGCGGTTGAGGAGGCCTCTTCGGAGCGCCTGGTTAAACATAGAGACGTTGAAACGCAGATCGGAACCCGCCCCCCTCAAAGGGCTGGAAACGTTGCTACCAATATGGATCAAATATGGATCAAAGCAAATGAGATGTTAGCTGGCATCAAGCGCCGATGCGGCCGAGGCCGGGACCTGCGCCATGGTGCCTTCGGGAACAGAAGCAAGTTCTACCAATTTCCAAAACACGGAGCCCATGTGTGTTTGCATAGCAACCCTGCAGTTCTGGCGATATCGTCTCTACTACTTATCGTTCTCGGCTTGCGCTACGCAAGCTCTACGTTGGCACCTGCGCTTTCCATGCAAGTAAATTTGGGTGTAGGTTCTGTGCTGTGTCTACCCGTGGTTTTGGTTCCCCGAGGACAGAAGTTTGCCACTTATCTTCGAGAAGGCTCGTAACTCAACAGCTAGCTCAGCTTCTTCATTGCCATCCTCTCAAAAATCATTGGCACTTCCCGTCCTTGAACAAGGCTAGAGGAGGTTGAGGCACTCTAGGAATTGCAGGCAAACAAGAAACCAGGGCTGTGGAAGCAGCATTTCTAGCCCTGCTGTGCGTCAGTGTTGCCCTCCGGTCATGAACCCTTGACCGCCCCGAACTGCAGGTCAAGTTGCCGCGTGGCCTAGGCAGCTTGAGCGATGGCAAGGCACAACTAAAGCAATCAACATTTTCCTAATACATAGCTTTGGGTTCAACGCACCGGCGCGGGCCCTTTTCGCTCAACCCAAGAGGGCTGTTGCGGTGCTAAAATGGGGGCCCGCAATGGCTCAAGCCTGCAATCTCGGCATTCTCGATCCTTGCCCTTCGCTGTTCTTGATGCGCTTGCACACTTTGTCAGAGCGGTAGACCTTTCCTGTGGGCGCCACTTTACCATCTCTGCCGCCATTCAGCAAGTCATTGCGTTGTGGTTCATCTTGCCCTCAGCTCGTTGGCGTTCTTTTAAAGACATGGAACGGCAATGATGAAAATGTCGCTCCAACCTGCGCCACTGTCCTCCTCCTCTTGCCTGATGGTCATCCCCCACGCTCAGCGCAATCAGGACCTGCTTGTTCATGTTGGTGGTCCTGATCTCCACCATGTTCACCTGAGCTTCCTGCTGACGGCCCCACATTATTCTTTCTCAGCTCCACAAACCTCTTGGCTGGCATCTTTTGGCGCCACAGTCTGCCAGGTTGTCAGCACTGGATAGCTGAATGGAGGACACTGGCCGCGCTGTCCAGGTAATGTTCAGCTTGACGCCGAAGAACTTGAAGCTGGCAAGCAGCAGCTCTGCCGTTGAACTCTGGCCCTAGCTGAGGACAAACGGCATCTGTAGCCTCCAGTCCGCACGCGCACAGTTTGCGTGTCTTCTTGCAGTTGGCCCAGCCTGTGTGCGAGTAGACGCCCAACTCGTCCATGTCTCCACTCAGCGCCAACCTACAGAAGGCTCATGTCAAAGGAGAAGATCGTCATGGAGTTCCACCAGGCGAGTGCAAGTTCAGCCGCTTGAAGCGCAACAGAAGCATCTTCCTCACTCAAGGCAGCTGTACGAGGCGGCAGATTGCAGGCGGTGCCCAACCCGGCTTCTGGGAAAGCAAGAAGAACTGAAGTTTGAACGGCACGTGGCGGATGTACCCGGCTCCGTGAGGGGTTTGACTTCTCCACGTCTTCTTCATCAATGTCCCAGTTGCCTTCCGCCGACAAAGTGGCGAGTTCTGCGTTGGAGGCCTGGAGTCATTGCAGTCCATAGGAGAAAAACCATGGAGGAGACGCTGGCAGAGAACCACCACTTTCAGCTGGACAACTCGACGCTAGCCTGGCACACAGTGCTGTCAGTGGTGGATACAGGAACTGCACCCCAGCCAAGAACTTGGAGATGCCCTATGTGACGAAGCTTGTCACAATCAAAATAATAAAGCTTTGAGAGAAGAGAAGGTATTGGTAATCATACTCATCACACAGACGTTTTGACTCTTCCCTGTGTGGTGGAGGTGGAGCGCAGCAGAACCCCCCACACTTCACACAATTCTGGCAAAACCGCGTGAGAGAAAGGTTTTGCTCCTGGCGTCTAACTCAGAGAGGCAATCCACCCATGAACATCAAGGCGGACCCTCCGTCAACTCCAGCCAGCCGGACTATGGAAGGCGGCGGCAAACAGGAAGGTGGCGGCAAACAGTCAGAAGGCAGGTTCTACAGTCCCATAAAAGCTAGGCTACATGGAGGAGATCAACAAGAAGCTCAGAAAGAAGCGGGTGACCTACAAGGTGGTTGCTGAGGGGGATGCGGGAAGCGAGTTTCTGGCGAGCAACAGTGCCAGCAAGAATGCCGTCAGCGTGGGTAGGCTGAGAGCCTGGGGATTCAGAGAGTTGACGAACAAAGATGGCAACCCCAACTTCGCCTACGGGATCTTTTTAGGAGGCTGGGAGACCCAGAGGAGCAGGTGGAGCACGAGATGATTGTGCCAGATGAGTTAAATCAAGATGAGGCTCGTCGGGAAGAGAAGGACCACCTTTGAGAGCCAACTTGCGGCATTCAGACTTCTAGCCCACAATGGCTGCTCGCCTTGTTGTAGCCTTTGCCCTTGCCATTGTGGTCGTACTTGCTCTGCGTCTTGCCCGTGCCCCCATCGCTCTCATAAGATACGAAAAGCTGAGCGCTCGCTGTTCTGACGGTGCTTCGCAACGCTGGCGGGGCATGCTGGACGATGATGGCTGCCTTGCACCCAGCTTTCAAAGTCGGGCTCTCAGGCGCACTGGTCAGGCGCACCAAGAGCTTTCCATGCCTGAAATCTTCCAGGCTTGGCATTCATGAGGATCTGTAGCGCTCTGCCATCCACGCGCTGCACCAGTAGGTTGAAGAGGACAGTGAGGTTCCATAGGTGATGTCTGAGCTTGCTCCTCCCTTTCCGCTACGCCACCTTGCGGGCCTACTAGATCAGGAGCGCTGCTCTGCTACCATGCGAAGGCGCGGGGCAGTTTCACTCGATCCAAGACGGCGGTTGTCATGCCCATGTTACACTTCTTGATTCACTTTACCATCTCTACGAAAATCCATGCATTCAACTCAGATCAGGGAACACAGCTTTCTTTGATGGTACAGCCTTTCACGAGCGTTTGCCACAGGTTGCTTGACCAGATCACCTGCAACAGGTCGCGCAAGTCAAACTCAACATGCAGGCGCACGATCAAAACCCCCTGCGTCATGTGCAAAAACACACGTCATGGAAGTTGCTCCAGAAAGGCGACTGAATCGAAACTGAATCGTCTCAGGCTGCTTGAACTTGTTTGAGCTGGTCAGCTGTTGGACGTGTTTCAAAAAAGGCATCGCGCGCCACGCCTCTGTTGCGCAAAAGAAAAGATCGGAAACGGGTGTTCTGTAAGAGCTGTCAGAAGAATTGCTACGTACCTGCCGGGAGACCTCCTAGGGCTGTCAAAAGAAAACACTCTATTGAGCTCTGGTTCTGTTTGGACAGGTGCTGTGTTGCGAATGCAGTCGTCAAAGCCCGTGCCGCCGGACCTGGAACGACCAATGCTCAAGAGACATGTCCATGTTCGAACACTGATCAGGGCTGTTGCATCTACAGAGACTTGACAATCTCGTGCTGCAGGGCTTGCAACACTTGCCCACATTGCTTGAAAGCCCTCTACAAGTAAAAAGTAATAACCATGTTCACTGACAAGCGAAAAACCCTCGTGGCAGCCCCTGCTGTTTTCTCCTGCGTCAGATCCAGAGGCATGCGACGCCCCGGGTGTGGTGGTGCCCGGGGCCTTGGACTGTCTGTCGCAAGCTTGTTGTTGCTCTGGCAGTGACCGCATGGCGCAAAGCAGGAATACGAAAAGTGGAGTTCGCAACGCGCACGAACAACGCGAGGGGTACCTCTGCTTTGCGCACGGGTTCGCCACGGGTTCGCCACTTTCTCGAAAAGTTGCCCAATGGCACGATCACGCAGGCAATTTCGGAGCTTCAAATTTCGCGGCAGGCGTAGCGCTTTGGTAACCTGAAGTGCAAATTTCCTGGCAAGCGCCGTACTTGCGTAGCCGTCGTGCTGATTTACTGGCAGCCGCAGTACTTCCGCACTCTGGGGCGCAGATTTGCTGGCAGGGGCGATACTTTGGAAGTCTAGACGGATAGTTAGATGGATAGATAAACAAATGAACAACTAGATGGATATATAGATGGGTAGTTTAAGTTTTGTGGCAGGCGCAGCACTTTCGCAACCTGTGCAGATTTTCTGGCGGGGGCAGTACTTTCGCAACTGTGCAGATCTACTGGCAGGCGCAGTACTTTCGCGCTCGGGGGTGCAGGTTTGCTGGCAGGGGCCATACTTTGGCACCGGTGCGCCTAGGACTCAAAAATCGCAACTTTTAAATACGAAAGTAGCGCAGCAGAAGAGAAAAGAGAAGAGAAGAAAAGAGAAGAGAAGAGAAGAGGCGAAGAGAGAAGAGAAAGAAGAAAGAAGAAAAAAAGAAAGAGGAAAGAGGAAAGAGGAAAGAGGAAGGAAGAAGGAAGAAGGAACAAAGAAGAAAGAGCAAGACGGGGGAAGAAAGAAGAAAAGAGAAGAAAAACAGAAACCATCAAGGAAAGGACCAAAAGAAAAGATCCTATAGTTGCCCTATTTTTAGAAACTTCCGCCCCCGGCTTCGCCGGCCTTAATGGCAACCTCCTCGTGTCCGCACACACCCATGATTCT